TGTTTTGCAAAAAAAGAAAAGATCTTTAAAAGAGAGATTCGTTTATTTGAAAGTTACATAGAGAATTAAGAGAGATTGATAGAGCATGCATTAGCTTTGTCACTTCCCAGATGGCCTCTGTGATCAGGCCAAAGCCAGGTCCAGGAGCTCCATTCAGGTCTCCCACATGAGTGGCAGAGGCACAAACATTTGGGCCGTGCTCCCCTGTTTCACAGAGGTGGAGTAGCTAGGACAAGAACTGGCACTCACATAGGATGCCAGGTTCATAGGCAGTGATTTTATCTACCCAACACTGGTCTGAAAAGAGGAATTTTAGTAACTTAGAGAAATTAATTCACAAGCTCTTCTAGTACCACATCTAATAGTTCACAAGTCCTTACTCTGATATAGTAATGCTCTTTATACCAGATCTGATTATCTGGAAGAAAAACAAAAGACCCTTTGCCACTAGTGCACCTCACCACTGCTCACAGTCTGTTCATTAGAGAACCACAGGTAATCAAGCGATGTTACCGGGACCTGATTACAATGCAGAAACCAAGGAAAGGCTGTTTTCCTCACTATTTGTCCAGCACCAAGTTTCTTAGGTCATCCCATCTGTCCTCTTCTACTCTAAGATTTGAGCATGCTAGTAGTATAGAAAATCTGCCCATCCATCTGAAAATGAAATACGTGCATTTATATATGTATACATATGTGTATATGTGTGTGTATATATATATATGTATATATAAGTGCAGAGAAAAGGAAAAAGTGGGAACAGCAAACAATTTGCAAAGATCATCATCTGCTACAGAGAAATCCTGTAAGAGGGCTGTTGTTAACATGGCAGTGACTTTCAAAGTGGCTAAAATAGATGAAGTTTTCTATCAGCCATCAGTTAGTAAAACTGAACATTGAAGTTTCTAAATTCAACTCCGAAACTGCTTCATTTAGTTAAAAGGAAACCTTCCCAAAACACTTCTACCACTAAAAAGTGGAGGGAACCGAAAGTGTTTGCCATGTATCTTGGGTTGCTCTGGCCCCGGGCACAGTGGTTTTGTTCACACCTGCATATATGAGCAGAAGGACAGATGAGACTGTGGGGTTGCATCCCAAGGGCAGGTCTTGGGGAAGCATGCATGGGCAGGAAGCAGATTTCTGATCTCTAGTTTGCATTGATCTTACGTTTAGACCCAGATTCAGAAGAGCAGACTCTCCCTTTTCCAGTGCCTTCGGAAAGATTGCCGCTCCGTAGAATGAGTCCTTTCTCCTCCACCCTTAATCTACAAGCCAGCTTCCCGGGGAGATCCTACTTTGGTCTCAGATCCTCACTCCACCAGCCGAGCTTGCATTCTTCCTTACAGTCTCTCAATGCACCCGGTGAGCCGAGCTCTCTTAGCACTTTTCCTCTTGAGCTCTGTGCCTTGGTGGCGCCTCTGAATACCCTGTTTTGTTCTTGCCGTTCGTGTGTGCACAGTGAGGGGGATGAGCTAGTCTTTGTGTCTGTGGCTGCTTCGGGAGAAGGTGAACTATGGAGTTTCGTGGCGTTTTTGTTTGTGTGCTGTGAGGACCAACCATGAGGCTGTGGCCTGTGTATAACGGCATTGGAAAGCTATGAGTGAAGTAGTTCTTTTTGCACAAGCTGGTCCGGCCATGGATAACCCCACTCTGTCATCACACACAGTGGCCTCGCAGGGGCACAGGGCGGGCTGGGTGGAGGCTGTGGCAGTACTGCAGAGGTTGGCAGCCCAACTGTATCCAGGAAACCAGCTGTGACTGGAGACTGGATCAGCGCATCCAGCCTGGAGTGGTCTGATTAAACATAGACTCAAGAGATCTTCACTGACAAAATAAATTTTTTTTAAATATAAAAAAAATCACGTACACCAGCAGCAGAATTCATCTTACAAAACAAGCAACTCAGCAGAAAGCAAAAACATTTTCTGCAAAAGTCTGTGCTCCCTAGTAGGACTGTCTGGGCTCATGGCTGACAGTTTCCTAATAGGAGAGAGCACCACTGGCTTCATTAGAAACCCTTAACTCCTAACGCCCAGTGCCCAAAGATCTGAGTAATTACAAAGTCTGTCCCCTGCAAAGTGTCCCGTGACCAAGCCTAAGACACAGGGCTGCTGGCTGACTTCAGGGAAGCCACACTTGTACTTTGCAGTGAATTCCATCTAGCAAACAACCTTACTAAACTATCTAAGATACAGATTTGATCTCTTCAGGACTATATTGTAATCATGGATACACCTGATGTACATTTCACATTTCCAAAGGTTTCTTTTGTTGTTTGTTTTATTCCTTTGGCTCATCCCACATCCTGGAATGAAGAAAGCCACAGCATGTCAGTGCAAAAAGGATGCGAGTACTTCCAGCCCTCTTGAAAATGACATTTTTCCTTTGTGCTTTCTGTTTCCTATTGTTTTTCTGTGCACTACTGGCTTTTCAACATGCTTTGTTATGGAACTCTTCTCACTGTGTCTGATGTACTGCAATATTGTTACAGTCTTTGTAATGTATATTGTCTTAAGAATAAAATGAAATGTGGGATTAGTGATATTTGATGGCTGTATAAAACTCACTGTTCTAGTTATACCGATGAATATTAAATGTATGATGGTGGGTTGAAAGTAGTGTCAAAAATTTCAGAATACTTGTTGTGAAAAAAAAAACTTGCACAAGGCATGATTCATTTAAAAATTGTTGAAGCCCTATTCAGTCTACATACTTATCTCCAAAGCTGGCTATGAGATCCAGTTTTAAATCTTTGAATGTTTCCAACTCACCATGAACTATATGAGCAGGAATGGAAATGACAGTGAAGAGACTCTAACCATGAACATCACTGTGAGTCAGAAGAAAATGATTTTTTAATGTGAATTCATCACAGGGTAAAGTAAACTAACCAAAATTAAAATCAGAATCTTTCAATTTTATTTTAATTTGGTCATTAGTTCTCTTTTAATTTTTAAATCTTGTAAATTTATTTTAAGTCCTTTTAGAAATTATCATATAGGGTCTTACTAAATTGAAAAAAAAAAGAAATGATCTTTTCTCTAGTAATAATCAAAACCAAATTTTCTGGATCCAACACCCTTGGAAATTATAGGTTATTCATGTGAAGCATTTTTAAATGAGACCATCCTCCTCCATCCTGAGGCATCTCCTCATGGGGTAGGGGGTCTAAACCTTAGGAAGGGAAAAAACTGTAAGACCACATGCACTCCCAGCACCCCTTCTGCTCCTCCAGGTGAGGATTGTTGAGTCAAAGAAATGGAAAAGATGTCTGTGATTTAACTTGGACCCCGGTCACAGGATGGACTATTCAGCATGGCCACAGTTGGACAGGCAGGAAAGAGTGAAATAGAGCTGTTTCTCCAAAGACATGGGACTTTCTACATTTCAGTGGGGGATAAATTTTTCTCTTTCTAAAAAAACAGTGTTCTCAGTATGGAAGCACTAATGGAAAATATTTGAAAATGTAAGCTGCAGAGTTTAGAGTCAATTGAAGGAGGACTTAGGAAATGGTAAGAAGATGAATTGTTGATTTTGAAAGAACTGAGGAGACATTAGTACCCAGCCAAATATATTGACATGAAAAGGGCATTGTTTTTTCATGAATCAGGCCTCAAGCGACTATATTCAGCTGGTGCTCTTACAAGTGTGTGCAAATAATTTGTCACATTGGTTGTTTCGTAGTTTTGATGTGTAGTATCTCTTCATAGGATGCAATTTTGAGACACAGTCCGCACCTTACTCTCAATTAGGCAAGTATACCTATTGTAATTGTTCTTTTACTTGTGGGATTGATGTGTCAATTTTCTTCATGAAATAAATGGCAGCAGCTTCTATTATGTCAATAAATTTGTCTACTTGTCCTTCTAACTCCATTAAAGCAGTTTCTCAAATCCTTAGTAGTGGAAAAGATGCTTGGATTTTTTAGTGTTATGTGCCCCTAAGCTTACTCCCACTCCCTTTTATTTTGTTTTGTTTTGTTTTTATACGTCAGTGCAAACAATCAGTAGTCATATTGGCTCTTGTAGTACATGGAGTCTTTTAGATTGAGGCCTTTTTTTGGTAAAAGTCGACCTAAAGCGACATGCTTTCTTATCAATATCAATTTTGCTTCCCATTTCTCTCCCTCATGCCTTTCACTTGGAATGACCACAGTTGACATTAAAAAGCTGTTGGCAGGTACGAAACCACCTTATTCTGTTACCAGAGTGCATGATGTGAGATGGCTCACAGGTTCCATTAAGCAGCAATCCTGTCTTACCAGATCATGGTATTTGTCAGCAGCTTTTAGAATTTAGGAAGTAACAACTTGTAGGAAAACCTCCTTCTATCTGGACCTAACAGTCACATACCTATGGCTCAAGCAAATCATTTTACATGTTAGTTGTAGAAGCAACCCATAATTTGAATTTTTAAGTACAGAGGAAGCAACCTGTCCTACACTCAAGTCTCACTTAAGAACATCAGTGTGTGAGTTGCTTAGAGCTTTGTGGTCTGAGCTTTTATTAGAGCCATGGTAATCTTCCAAATGACTACATTCCAGCACTTCTACTGAAGGGATATTTCCCATTTTCATTCCATGTGTTTTGTCCCCCTCTATCTAGGGCTCTAGATCCTAGCCTCCCCCCCACTCAGGGCTCACACAGGCTGTTAGTGCCTTCCCTCTCCCTTTATGTCTCTGGTGCACTGTTCTGCCAGTCACCAGGTGAAGGAACTTGCACCTTCCAAAATCGATGCCACTTCACTCCTGGAGCGCTGCAGGGGAGTACAGTCTAAGCCAGGTAACCCCTGTTGACTCGGTCATGTGTCCTCTGCCTGCTTCTGCTGCAGAGGGTACCAACTCCCAGGCCACTTATGGCCCCTCCAGTCCCAATCACTTTCTTCCCGCATGACAGCATGAAAATGCAACACAATGCTCCTCACCCCACCCAGGAGTGTACTCAGACACTTGAACTTGTTGGGTTCACCTTAATAACCCTACTCCTTTCTATTGTTCCCAGTGGCCTGGTTTGCTTTTGACCCTGGCTCGGCACACTCAGACATCATCTTCTCCAATGACAACCTGACAGTGACCTGCAGCAGCTATGATGACCGGGTGGTGCTGGGGAAGACTGGCTTCTCCAAGGGCGTGCACTACTGGGAGCTGACTGTAGACCGTTATGACAACCACCCTGATCCTGCCTTTGGCGTGGCTCGCATTGACGTGATGAAGGATGTGATGTTAGGCAAGGACGACAAAGCTTGGGCAATGTATGTGGACAATAACCGGAGCTGGTTCATGCACAACAACTCGCACACCAACAGGTACCCCTGCAGCCCCCAAACCAAGCCTTCTTCACGTTGGCTTCTGGTCAGCAGAGAAAGCCCAAGTGCAAAGAGCTGTTACGTGGACCATATCAAGAAGGAGGGGCAGGTGCTGGTGTTCATTGAAAAACGCAGGAGATACACTGCTCTTAGTGGAGTCCATCCAGTGGGTGGTGGTTTATTTTCTGCATTGCTAAACTCCACCTGTCTCTGGAAGGTCAGAATGCCCATGCATATGCACTGCAAATCACACAGGATTCTAAAACCTACACCTGCATTTTAACACAGAAGCACTTTGGGACAAATTACATTTCTCAGTCTCAGTTTCCAAATCCACCAAATGAGTATAATATTTTTTCTGTATAAGAATGTTCTAAAGATTAAATGAGCTACATAAAGATGTCTCCCACTGGAGACACCAGAATATACAGTGACTGTGGTTACTATGCTTATTATGAATATGATGCTCAGAATAGAAGCCACTCCTTAAACTAAATTATGTGGATGCTCATCTGGATAGCTTTCTTCTTAGAGGATTCTCTCAATGTCGTATGAAAGAGAGCATCCAATTTGCTGAGACTAAGAGGACACAATAATTTTCTTAAGATTTTTTTTTATCTTCAACATATAGGTAAATGTAATTTAAAGATGTATTTATTTTTATTGGAAAGGAAGATTTACAGAGAGAAAGACCTTCTGTCCACTGGTTCACTCCCCAAGTGGCCGCAGGGGTCATTGCTGAGCAAATCCAAAGACAGGAACCAGGAGCCAGGAGCTTCTTCCAGGTCTCCTACACAGGTGCAGGGTCCCAAAACTTTTGGCCATCCTCTACTGCTTTCCCCAGGCCACAAGCATGGAGCTGGGCACCCATATGTGATCCCAGCGCATACCAGGCAAGGATTTAGCCACTGAACCATTGCACTGGGCCTGATAAATAGATTTTAATACATTTTCTCATGGGATTCCCTGTGGGGACAGGGCAGAATCAGATAATTGAGCTGTGTTCAATTGGATCAAAAAGAAAGCAAGCCAGGATAACTGGTTTCCACCATTTCAGCTGTTCCTATAGGCTCATCACTGACCTCTCTGTAGCCAGGAAGCTTCCAGGGCCTCCTGTTCCCCAGGATATTTCGCTTGTATCTCTGTTGAAGGGAGCACACATGGTTTTCAGTGGTTGACATTTTGGGGAACTCTGTGTCCCTAGACTCCTTTTGCCATCACCAATATACTATGCTTACATTTTGTCCTTTGGGATTCATTCCTTTGGAGAAAAGGAGTAGATAACAACACGATTATCACACAAAGCAGAGAAACACGTTCTTAATGCTGAACACATCTGCTTGCTGGTTACCTGCATGTCACATGTGGTGTAATTGTTAAACCTGGTGATGACGAGATTCTGTGTGTAAGTCTGTCCTTCAGTGGCTATGAACTGTTTGTATTCTGCATGCAAGAGGAATTGAATGATACTTTTCCATTCCCCTGCTCTGCTGAGATGAGGATGACATTCAGTACAGTTAAATCTCAGGGAATAAACACGAATCTGATGGCCCCTGTTTAATTGTCCATTGGTATTTTGTGAGTTCATCAGTTGAAGTATAAGACACAATTGTTCGTCAGAGGACAGTGCTATGCAGGTTCCTTAACATCACTTCATTTCCCACCATGTAATTATTTCACCTCACCAGGAAGAATCCTCTTCTTCTGTGTTGTCATTTTAAGGACAACCTCTATCTTCTTAGTTCCAATTCAACATGCTAAAAATTACCAATTTTCTGCAATGAATTTTCTATTTCATAGGTAGTATAAAATCCAAAATCCAGTGTTTATGCGTATGGATTTTGGCTCAGCCTACATACATCTTTATTTTGATTTTCAAATGAAGCTATATTTAACGATATTTAATTCACACCATTTGTGCAAACCTTGCCATATAGCTACAAGTTAGAGCTCTGATAGCAGAAAGTCTGCATTTTTGTATCTCTTTAGTAGTGTTTTTTATTCTACTGCTGTGCCTTGGTGTCTACCCCATATGAATGCATTCACCCTCAGCAACAGCAGAGCAGCTCCAACGTTCTCTCCAGGGGCCCATTTCCCTGTCCTGGGAGGCAACATTGGTGGGTGAGAGACAAAACAACCTGCCCCTTTATAGCTATGTGGATCACAGATAAATAGTCAGCACCTAAACAGGTATATCTGTGGTGTTCAATTTCTGTATCAGAAGAATTGATTGGCCAAAAAACAAAACAAAACAAAAAAACAATGTTTGGAAAGGTTGGGGGTAGTAGGCCACAATCATTTGAAACAGGCTAAAAAAGCACTGATTTACTAAAAAAAAAAAAAAAAAAAAAAAAAAAAAAAAGAGCTTCTGGAATGAAACCTAGTCTTTCTTTTCCCACAGAACTGAGGGAGGGATCACAAAAGGGGCCACCGTTGGGGTCCTTCTTGACTTAAACAGAAAAACGCTGACCTTCTTTATCAACGATGAACAACAAGGTCCCATTGCTTTTGATAATGTGGAGGGCCTCTTCTTCCCTGCTGTCAGCCTCAACAGGAACGTGCAGGTAAGCAGCTTGCAGCCAAGAAGAGGGAGGGAAGCTAAGAGAGGGAAGCTAGGAGGGTAAGGCCCAGGCTAAGCCACAGAGGAGAGGGGCCAACATGAACAACTCTTGTGACTCCATATCAGCTTAATCACCTTCCTTATAGAGGGGGACCTCACAAAGGTTGTGGGAAAATGGAATTCAAAGACACATTTATTTTGGTGCCAAAGTTTTGAAATCTATGTGTGTAAACATCATAATTTCAAATTTGGGGGCATCAAAATGTACTTACCTTTTAATTACATTTTTTCCCATGAGCATTGTGAAGTTCCCTCTTATTTGAACACTGTCTAGTTAGCAACACACAGGAAAATGGAAGTATATTTACACTTTGCAATGACCATTCATCCAAGTTTAGTGTTACCTCTAAGAGCAAATGAAATTGTTTCCATGAAGCTCTGGGTGCCTGGGAGGAAGATAAGATGTAGCTGGAAGTTACCAGAAAATCCAGGCATCTTTCCTATACTGTTGTTTAGCTTGGACAGCTGCCATGGACATAGAAAACCCAGTTTCTACCTATACGACCATTATTTTTTACTTATTCTAGATACAAAACAAGTTTCTTTCATTCATTTATTCACTTAACAAATATCTAGAATTCCTTTAACATATCCGTGGGGAGGGGAGATAAAAAGCTTGGCATCCTATAATGTCACCCCATTACTGGGGTCACAGGAGACAGATGATGAAATACACACAAAGTTATAGCATTAGTCACATGGTATGTTAGAAGGAGACAGGAGCCATGGAGAAAAAACCAAGGGTGAGTGAAGGAATCAAGAGTGCTAGGATGAGACAGAAGGGCTAGTGTAAGTAGGCCTTCCTGCAAGCACAGTGAACTGAGCCTTAGAGGTCATCAGGAATGTGCTTCTGAAAGCCTCCCATACAGAGGAGACAGGCTATGCAACCTGTCTAAAGCCTCACATAAGCTTACAAGGGCAAAAAGGCTGGTGCGCTATGGGTGGGAAAGGAGAGCTCAGAGCCAAGCTGTGCAGGGCCACGTCCTGCCAGCTACCATTAGAACTTATGGAATAGGATTTCACTTTTCTGAGCAGCACCGCTCAACAGCTATCATCCTCATTCAGCAAAGGGCTGCCTTAGGACAAGGCTTGGAATCAAATCACTGTATGGAATGTTTCAAAATTCACTGTTGTCTAACAGGATATGTAATGAAACTGACTGCAGGCCAGGGTGCTCTGTTTTCTCTTCCTACAAGTAGATTACATTTGATGGGAAGCTGACATCTAATCTGTCCAAGTTAAGCCTCTGCATCGCAAGAAATAAAATCTTAGATTTCTCTAGAAGTGAAATTCAGCAAACCTCATTCTCCAAAACTCTCCATAGTTTTAGTAACTTCCATCCAAAGAATACAGTACTTGATACTCCTCAAAAAAGTTCCAGAATGTTCTTAATACATTTAGACAAAGGCACCAGCCAGGAAAGACAGAGTGAGCATCTCTCATCTGAAAACTAAACATCTGAAATGCTCCAAAATCCAAAAGCTTTTGTTTTATTTTTTAAAGTGTATTATTTTTATTTGAAAAAAAGGCAGAACCACAAAGAGATCTTTCATCTACTGGTTCCCCAAATGCCTGCAACAGCCTGGACCATACCAGGCTGAAGCCAGGAGCCCAGTACTCCTTCCATGTCCTCCTCATTGGTGGCCAGGACCCAAGTACTTGAGACATCATCTACTGCCTCTGCGGTATGCAATTAGCAGGAAGCTGGATCCAAAGCAAGGCTGGGTTTCTGATATGGGATAAAGGCATCCCACGCAGTGGCTTAACCCACAGTACCATTACACCCTCCCCACATACGACTTTTAAAGTTTTATTGATGTATTTCAGAGGCAGAAGACAGATGGACAGACTCTTAGAGAGAACTTCCCTCTGCTGGTTCACGCTGTAACTTCCCAGAACGCTAAGCGCTGGGCCAGGTTGAAGGCTGATGATGCCAGGAGCCAAACAAACGTCCAGGTCTCTCATGCGATTGGCAGGACTCAGTTACTAGTGCCATTCCAGTGAACTACCAGGATTGTCATTGGCAGGAAGCTGGGACTGGAACCCAGAGCAGAAACTTAAACCCAGGCACTCCAATATGGGATGCAGGCACACTTGCCCATGGGCTGACAGCACCCTAAGGTCTGAACTGTTTTGAGTACTGTCAGGATGCTCAGAAAGTTTCTGATTCTGGAGCACTTTAGATTTCAGATTTTTAGATTAGAGATCCTCATCTAGTCACGTCAATGCAAATTTTCCAAAATCTAAAAATCTCCCCAGTTTGTTAACACTTTCAGTCCCAAATATTTAAGAGAAAGAATGCTCAATTGCATGAAATAGTTGTAACCTGGTTCACATGGGTACCCCTGAGGCTGGAGATGTAGCAGAAGTTGGTGAAACAGTATGAGAATGTTTGGGAGAATCCATGGAAAATTGAATTTAAAAAGAAGTTTTACTTCTTTTGAGTGCAAAAAAAATTGAAACCCATGCATACAAGGGGTTTTCAGAGGTTCGTGAAAAATGCAATTACGGGGAAACTTGTTATGAAGTTCAGCATTTTTACATTGAAATAAACTTTTAATTCGATTTTCCACAAACCTCATGAGGATCGCTGGGGAAGCACACCACGCTTCTTCACAATTGGCAGTCATCAGTGCAAACTCAGGAGGAGCTTACCCCAACTGGGGTGATTGGGGGTCCCCCTAATAAGAAGGGGCCGTTTTTGTCACCATGGCCATAATGTAGGATAGGGTAGTGCCTCCTGCAATGTGCCTGACAGGCATGCCTACCCTCAGGTCAGTGCTTGTGTGTGTCCTCAATAAGAAGTTGCACAGTCTCCCAGCATCTTGTACAAAGACAAATGGCTGAGAACAGTGTGCAGGGTCTCCCAAGAGTTCAAAGAAAATACTTCTAAGCAACAAACTGTTTGATTTCAGGATTTTTTGTTTATTTGTTTTTTGGCTTATTTGTGTTTTTGTTTTATTTTGTTTTGGTGCTGAAAAAAAAAAAAAAAAAACCTAACTGTCAATTGCATTTTTCCATGAACTTCTCGAAGCAGCCTCCTTTTTGCAAGTCTCACCAGGATTTGAGAGCCCACCCAGGTGGCCAGGCTCTAACCACAGGGCAATGTCTGCTGCTAAACAGACATTGGAGGGAAGTAAACAGTCCCTGTTCTGCATTACAGGCACACCCAGCATGTGCCATGTACTGGGGTGGGATGGGGTTACCCATGGGGCATTGCAGCACTCAGTCTCGTTCCCCAGGTCACGCTGCACACCGGGCTCCCCGTCCCTGACTTCTACTCCAGCAGAGCATCAATAGCCTAAGGACGTGCTGTGGAGGTGCCAGCTGCCCATCTTGCCTTCGCCCAAGAGAGCCACAGCGAGAGGCTGAGCCAGCCCTGGAGGGATGCAGATAGCTGGCAGAAGAAGCAGCGGCAGGAGAGAAAAGCTGGTCCTCCACAGCCTTCACCTCCAAAGCTCAGTCCCTTTCCTTTCCCTGTCTTTCCTCTGCTGCCACGCCTGTGTTCGCTTTCATAGCCAGCAGTTCTAACCCACCGTGGACCTACACAACCCGCCATGTCACTTCTCCTCCACTCCTGGATTTTCCTTTGATTTAACTTGAGTTTCTAGGTAGGTGAGTTATAGTTTGTTTCTCTTCTGCTCATGTAATTGGTGACTTACTGAACTGGCACTGCCAGGAGACTGTTTTTCTGATAACTATTTTTCTTGTTCTTTCTGTTGAGAAATAGGCAATAGGGAGAGGTCGGGAAGAAAGCTGACTGGAGCTTGCAGCTTGCCTTGTTCCCTCCAATGCAGGGTCAGCTCCGTATAGCTGTATCTTTGGGAGGTGGGCAGAGTGAACTGAGAATTTTCACTCTTCACTGGCAGGATGATTGGATGACCCCATAATTAGGGTCTTGATGTGAAGTTGGAATGCTTCTATTCACAAGCAGACAAACAGACTATAGAACATGATGATTTGGAATTCCTTTATCTAACACAGATTTTTGGCTGAGAACATAGTGTGGACCAGGCACTGTGTTTGAGACACTGTGAAGACATGGTGCTGGGTAGGTAGGCATGCTTCTGCCCTCCTGGAGCTAATAGAAGACCAGGGCAAAAACTAAAATGATTATAAATTTTCATTTGCATCAGACGAGACTAAGATCAGAGAAGTTCCTTGGCAAAATTTTTCCACATTTCCAAAACAAGGCTAAAACCCCTACATAGCACCCACTCAAGGCCTTTTCAACTGTGCTATTTTTAATTATAGTACCTGTTACCACTCATTACAGAGCTCTTCTTTGGTAGAGAGGATGTCAGCATTCATATGTGTTAATACCACAGCAATGCTAAGCCTTAAAAGTAGGTGACAAAAAGAAAAGAATGCCAGCAATCAGAAGTCAGAGAATCCATTCTCACGATCTCAGGATACACACACTGTCCCCATGTCTACTCTCCGTGCCTGTCACAGTTAGGAGAGTCATCACTCTGCTGCTACTCACGACCTCATGTGCTGGGTTGTCTGGGAAGCCATCAGGTCACGTGTCATTCCCACAGCTGAGACCAGAATAGCTTTGTAATAAGAGTAAAGCTTCTGTCTTCAAGAGATAGACCTACCCAAGTGACCCTTCCAATTCTTCAGTGTGACATGAAGTGTCAGAAAAGGTGGGACCTGAAAAGAACTTCTGATTATCTAAATAGTTTCCACTGAGCTAAGAAATTTACCATAAAAAAAAAGACAAGAAAAACAAACACAAATAGAAGGGAAGAAATAGGATGGAAAAGCTAACAAATCAGAATTTGGGGGTGGGGGGAGAAAGTCATACACATAAATAGCTAATGATTTACTTCTGTGCTTTCTTTATTTTTAAAGATTTCTATAGGTTGTACTGATTTTCTAGTTCAGTGTACCTAATTTATTGAATGGGTGCTAACCTGTTGATGTCCAACTTGGTTTTTCCTGACTACAGAAAACCTCTGTTGCAGGACAACACTCACTATTTGGTTTACTCTCCCATGAGACCCTGGCTAGGCCGCTGTAGCCTCACAGTTACTCTTGTTCTTTATTAAAGTCATCCTGCCAATTAGATTTCCAGTGACTTGTAACATGTAGTTTACACTGAATCGCAACTAATCATGCATAGAGTTACTATAGTGGGGGAAAAAAGAAGTCATCCTTTCTGGTGTGCCAATAAATCATTTTTATGACAGAATGAAATGTCTCTGGAATTTCTTAGCTTTTGCCTATTTGGAGTAGCAATTCACCTTGATCAGACACATATTTCATGACAAAACATTGCTAGAATGTCCCCCAATTTTGTCCTATCTCTCCCCTTCCAGTTTTCTTATTTTCTGTTGGCTATCTAGTGGACTGGTGAGACATTTTGTGCGCTCCCTGCAGTGATAAGGTTAATGGAACTTAAGACTCTCTGTCCTTTCCATGTAGAAGTGATTAAGTGATGTGCAAGGAGTCGTTCTGTTTTCTGGAAATGAGATGCTTTTGCTCCAGCCTCTGATGAGCGCATTCATCTTTGGCTCATCAACTCACTGATAAGCAACAGAGGGGGCTTGCTGCTGAATCAGAATTTTGAATTATTGAAATTTTTTTCATAATAATAAAGCAAAGAAGTGCTTGGGCTATGCCTTACCATTTATATGAAAGCGCTGAAGGCACCTACATGTGTTCCTCAAATATATGTTCCAGTTACTTCTGCCAAAACTGGTGTTGAAGGAAACCAGGGTCATCTATCAGGGAGGCTCCCTAAATTGTGCATTTATCTGAAAGACCAGGCACTGGAATAAACTAGAGTGTGGGTACAGATGCACAACAGAAGCACCTGGCCAAAATGCATGGAAACAGCATTCTGGACCTTTCTGTGCAGTACTTCTTCACCCTGCCACAGCTAGGATGAAGAAAGAGGTGTAAATCTACCTGTCTGTACTAGCACATGAGGCACTTCTCTAGGGGCAGGGGCTAGGGGAGGAACCACATTTCATCAGATTCCGATTACAGAAGAGAATTCACAGTCAGGTGGGTAGTTATATAGCCTTGTGACTATAGCAAAAAACATGGAAATGTTTAAGGGGATGGAGTGTGTGGTTAATGAACTACACTTCAATATGAAAAAAATACTTTCCATGTGACAACGTTCGCAGGATCTCCTGAATAGCCAAGTGTGTGGGGAACACCAGGAACCCTGTCTTGTGGTCCTCATACAGGACACCTCCCTGTGCTATAACCTGGTAACTGCAGGGTTGGACAAGACTGAATCTATCTAGTGAGGATGCTCCTTTCAGCCTCTGAGGCTGAACCTGCTGGCCTGGCTCCTCTTTCCCCAAGCCTATCCCAATGCTTCTGCAGCTCCTGTGCTCTGAGATAAAGCCAAGATGAGACACGAGGGAGTCTGAGGAATGGATGCAATTTGAGTGTCCCCCAAAGGGTCATGTTGAAAAACAAAATCCCTCATTCCTATGACATTTAGACGTGGGGCAGGGGGCAGGGGGCAGGGAGGCCTTCAGAGAGGTAATTAAGATTCCATGAGGTGATGAGGGTGTGGCCCTCAGTGGGGCCTCAGTGGCTTCATAAGAGGAAGAGTGGGCCAAGCTGAAATACTCACTCTGTCTTGCCGTGGAATGCCCTTCAGCATATTAGACTGCAACAAGAAGGCCATAATCAGGTGCTGGCTCTGTGTGTGCCCATGGACTTCTGATCACCAGTATTGTGACCGAATAAACCTCGGTTGTTCGTTCGCCAGTCACCTGTCTGGTTATTTTGTTACTACAACAGAAAACCAACAAACAGAGGGACTCACAATCCGATCTGACCTCCCAGACCTCCCTGCTTCCCATGCTCCTTTGTAAATGGGAGGGTGCTCAGATACTTCCTCCTGTCTGGTGGACATGACCTCTACATTTTGTTTTCTGATACCATCGAGGCCTGCTGAGGTCTTGGCCACAATTTCAGGTGGGCAGCACCAGCATTTCCCACCCATTTCCTAACTGATTAAGAAACCACCAACAGGGAACATCTTACCTGTAGGCTCCCCACCCAACAAGGAGGGGTCAGGGAATGCTTAAAATCCCAAGACCTTTCCTCAAAACTTTGGTGTCTCTTTCTCTCTCCCCATTTCAAGAGGCACCCCACCTCCTGGCTCTCTCTCAGGAGGTGCTTTCTCCTTCCCTCCCCCTTCCCTGCTCACCTGGTCCCTTCGCAAATAAACTTTACCATCTGCAACAGATTCCCGACTTTTTATTTTTATATTAAGCTGAGGAAAGAACCCATCGGGCATTTCTGGTAAGATTTTCCACTTTCCTAGACTTTGCTCATGGCCAAGTGCACAGTCCAGGTTAGGAAAGCTGGCCACCAGCAGGAAGCAATTCAGACCAGCTCCTCCAGACCCTTGATGATCACACATTTTGCTCATATCCCTTTTCCTCCCTTCATCAGGTCAACTAAACACTCACCATGAAATCAAAAAGGATTGACATCTTGTTTGATGCTCTTGGCCATGTTTCAAATCAGAGTCTGACAGCTAATGAGCATAATTAATTACAGTTGCATTAAGAAGCAAGGCTGAAGGTCACATTTTAACTATCTGTTAGCAACTTACAAGCCAGCATGTATCAATGTATGGTGATTTTTCATGTGAATGATAGAGAGAACCATAAAACAAAAGAAACGAGTCTGATAGGACTCTTCATATAAGCATAAACCAGTGGTTCCTGATCTTGGCTAAAGTTTTTCATAAGGAAAATATGTCCAATATTTATTCATACATATTCCTTACAACAAAGGAGTTATAAAGTGGGATAAGGTATGTAAAAGTGTTTTATGACATAAAAATGAAAATGCAAGATATAACATGATAGCCTGGTGGATAAATCCTCGCCTTGAATGCACCAGGATCCCATATAGGTGCCAGTTTGTGTCGAGCTTTTCTGCTTCCCACCCAGGTCCCTGCTTATAGCTTAGGATAGCAGTAGAGACAGGCCCAAAGCCTTGGAACCCTATACTTGTGTGAGAGACCTGGAAGACGTTCCTGACTCCTGGCTTCGGATCAGCTCACTTTGACCATTGTAGCCACTTAGAGAATGAGTCAGCAGATGGAGGATCTTTTTCTCTGTCCCTCCTTCTATCTGTAAATCTGCCTTTCCCATTAAATCTTTTTTTTTAATGAAATACAGTAAAAATAAGTGTCCCTTGTAAGTAGCATTTGTACTTTGCACTGTCAGGTAGGAATGGAAAGATGGGGCATGTAACACTGAAGTCCCCCTTTCCCAGTTTTGATCAATGTTCCAGTGCTTGCTTTGCATCCTGGGGC